TTATTATTATTTTATTTATATTGAGTTTTATTGTAGGGTATGCGTGTTTGACGGACTTTTCTAGAGTTATTATAAATTTTTTTTTTTTCAATCCGTTTTTCTGGAGGACATTTATTCAGAGAAAACTTAATTTTTTATTTGCATCCTTAAATCACAAAAAAAAAAAAAAAAAAAAAAAAAAAAATATTCACTTTACACAATTTTCAAAATAGCCACTTTTAAAAAAGATATTATTTTACTGTATCATATATTTATATCCAATCAAAAATTTCTTAGCTATAGTCGTTTAAATGCCTAGAATATAACAATATATAGCAATTAATATTCATTAAAAGATAAGGAATTACCGTGCTGATTGTGCTTCATTTTAGGGTAATGTGTTATTCTATTGAAAATGAATTGCTTACAAGTCTATTTTCTACACATTTACGGCTATAACTAAGAAACTGTTGATCGGATATAAATATAATATGAAATCTGCATTAAAATGTTAATAATAATATCTTTTAAAAAACGGCTATTTTGAACATTTTGTAAATTTAATAAATAAAAAGTAATTTTTTTTTAGTGATTTAGTATGAAAATACAAATTTAATTTTTCTCTAAATACCCCTCTCAAAGTAACACAGATTGATAAAAAAAAATTAATTTTAAATAGCTCCAGAAAATTCCATCAAACATGGTGATACACCTTGTAATTTGCCGGGCGCCTTGTAGTTTTAACAAGGTTTGTTGTCTCTGGGAAAATAACTATATTGCCCCTTTTAAATGACCCTGTTTATTCGACCAATGCAAAAAATACAAATTGTCATTTCAAAATCCGGGACGTTTGAACTTTGAAGTGATTATGGTCCTTTGGTCATTGTCATCGTTTTTTTAAAAGTTAAATGAATTAAGATGTTTAACTAATGCATACACTAATGAATTAAGATGTTAGTGTATGCATACACAAAAATGATTAATTGAATGACCGTATTTCCTAAATAAACTAGAGTCTAGTGTTGTTTGGTATTGTTTGTATTTTAAATTATTCAAAAAATCTGACTTGTGACGTCACAACATATAGTTGACCATGACTAAATACAGGTTGAGGTAAATACAACCCTATTTTATCCAACATTTGGCCTTGAGCTTTGTTTTTTGTCATAGTAAATGCTATTCGTATCGGAAATTGTCGTCTCAAAGTTTGACGACTTTTTAGAAAAATTATTGCTATTTACAATGGTAAATCGGAGCAAAATTGCTTGAAGAAAAGTTGTTTACAGGAAAAAAAAAAGGCCGTCATTTGTTTTAGCAATACCTACATTTCGTAACGTTTTCCAGTTTTTGCTCTCAACTGTGAAATTCGCGATCCACCAATAAAAGAATTCACAACTAAACGACGAACACGTCGGCGCACTATAAAATACTGAGAATTTAAACTATCGGCTTTTTTTTTAAATTTTATTTTGCCCGTTACGGTGAGATATCTCGAAAATTGAAATCAATGGTATTGTGATTAATTGTTTTCAATTTGCAAACGAATTAGCAGGTATAGACTTTACAAACAATTTCGCCTCAAACGCAACTCGAATCGAAATCCTCTAATTTCTCGTGTGTCGTCATTATCTATTCCTGAAAACCCGCCTTGAAGTTTCAAAAAGAAAATGTCTAAGAGATGCTCTTGAGTAAATATCAAATAAAAAAAATAATGAGAGAAAAACAAATTTCTACAATTTTTCGAAAAACCATTCGAATTATTATTTTCCCCGAATAGGTTCGAATCTATCCAATATAGTTCGATTATAACTGTTCGGTTGTGTCCATCAACTAGGTACTAGTCAAAAATCGTGTATTACGACGTTTAGTGCAATTTTTAGTGTTTTTGGACGTTTCGTCAATTGTCTAATAATTTGCTAGACTTATCGCGAGCAAAATATATGATTTTTTTTTTTCACTGCTGCACATGACAGTAATATTTTAACCGACCCACGGTACTAAGCCGCACCGTAAAAACCCCTCCGTATTGTATGCCAACGAGTGTTTATATTCTAATCCCCACACTTTGATATATTACGTGTAATTATAATATAATGTTATCCTTGCCGTGTCCCTTCGCTCGAATAACTGCAACGGTTCAAAAGCACTCCGTCGTATCTTTTCTGCAGTAAATGCCGTACACTCGAGTTACCAAAATCAAAGTGTCGACAGGAGTAGAGTAACTTTCTCCGAGTTTTTTTTTTCTTCATTTCGTTTCGTTTGAAAACATGGATTTGTAATATTGCGCGCAATTGACACAATTGTATTGATATAAAATTGTAGGGACAAAAAAGTGAACTATCGAATGAAAACCGAGACGCGTTAAAGTGTCCACAAAAAAAAAACGTTCAAAAAATAGCTAATGCTGGAAATGGGCGCGTCACTGTTGTTGGTGGCAGGTCGAGAGGATATGATACATAAATGGTATTCGATTTATATCTGTACGCAACGAAAAAGAAATCTGAGCGAAATTCATAAATATTTTTAAACGTCGGAATTTTCACGATTTCCGTCAAAATTTGATCATGAAACACTTAAAAAAAAAAAAAAATATAATTTAACGCAAATACATAAAACCGAATAAAAACTAAAAACTCGAAAATGTCAAATGACAATAAGTAGATCAAACATTAATAAAATGATTGAAAATGTCTAGTAATATTATCGGAGAACTTCATTTATCTACGATTAGTTTTAACGGTCTAACAACAAAAAAACAATAAATGGATATATTTAGTATGATTTATATTTAAAATTTGAAAATAGTACATTTTCTCATTTTTCTACTTTTTTTTTAGAGGAGGTGATACACTTAAACATCTGAACAATATTTCTGGTAGAAAAGTTGTTCACAGGAAAAAAAAATTATAAACATCATTGTAAAACCAATACATTTATCTCTCAGAATCTAAAATTGAAAATAATTTTTTTGTATCTAATTCTCAAGTATATTGACGGGCTATTAAATTCATATAAATCGAAAAAAAAATGTGCCGTGTTGTTGGGGATTTTTAAGATTTTCGTCAAAAAAGTTTGAAACTCATAAGATTATAAAAACAAAACGAATTGTGATTTTCAATATTTTTAAATCGCCGTCATAAATAAGAAAAAATACTTATTAGAAATAATTTTGTATCGATTTTTGCGAGCATTTATACAAAGCCCAAAATCCTGGGTACTTACACCTATGTAAATACATGTGTTTTTTGTTTTGGCACGTAGGTAAATACAAATCGAACGTCCCGAGAAAACGCGCATTTCGACGCGTATATTTTAATATTATTGTAATTATTATGCGAGTGCTTGTATATTATACAATGTGGTTCATTAAGCATGCTCCACCCCATTTTTATGGGTAACTATGCGTATGTGCAAATTCTGAGTTCGGAAATTTTTAAGTATAGTTGTAGATGATATTTTCATATACTTAGATTTTTTGTAACATTTATACTGTTGGCGATTAACAATCGGAAATATTTCGGTTTACCTCAACAATATGGGTCGAATATTATACAATTAGATTTTCTGTGTAATAAAACGAGAATGTAAAACAACTCTCATAGTATATTAAAAACCTATAAATTAATGAGAATGAAATCGAATTTTTATTATGGCGTATGAAACAAAGTCAATGAGAGTTGAATATTATTATAATGCTCGAGCCAATCGACTTGCTTGAACTGGGATGACCACGACCGATGAATCACCCTGTATATTAGGTTCTATACAACGCGATATTATGTTGTATACATTTCATCAAAACGCTCGACGCACGTTCTCCTTTTGAAACATAACAATAATATTTATATGTAGTGCGCGCGGGCGCGTGTGTGTATAGAGGCGGTAAGTACGAACGGCTAACACGCGTGTACAAAACATCGTAACGCAATAAAAACTTCACCGTCAAAACAAGAGGGGGGGGCGTACAAATAACAATAATATCGTAAAATATGAACGTACACTTATATATACCGACTATACGCTATGTAGGTATACTGTATACGGTGTGGCGGCGCCCACCCCTCGGATAACACCCCCGGACACCTATATACGGTATGCGGTAATTAAAAGTTCGCGTTGTTATAGCGTTACACCACGTTAAATTACTGTATTATGGTTATTACTATTGTTATACGAGAGTTGCACTTAAAACGCGTAATCGAACATATTATTATTATTATTATTATTGTAATATTATCGCGTTAGTGTTTTACGGGCAAAGTCGCGTATAGATTACACACACAATATACGCGCTATACAATACGTACAAACTTAATCTAAACTGTAAATCGAGTGTATACTTATACATTACACATATTATATCGAGCACCGGCCTAATATTATAATATATTGTATAAAGTGTAAATCGATAGTATTATCGTAATAAAGTCTGTGTAAACAGAACCGTTCTGCCGTACCGTAACGATAATCGCCTATTTAAAAGTCTTCGGCGCTCTGTATTAAATATATACTGCCCGATATTATAATCTCGTATCATAGACGCGCGTCTGTCCGCCTGTAACGCCTTTTCTCTTATCGTCGTGTTTTTTGTCCGGACGGTGTTAATTATATGGTCTGTCTTATCAGGCACGTATACAAGAGGGAGGGGGATGAAAGGCTAAAAATCTCCCTCCCCAGAAATTTCAAGAAAATTATGACGAAACTAGAATTTTAATAGAGTCCCAAAAAATGGCTTCTGTCAATGAGGAAGATAAATACAATTTTGGTTTTTTTTTTAATTTAATTTTTAGATAATAGGTAATGATGCTATATATTGTATTCATTGTCATTTTTGTCATTTTTAATTTGCTGCGGTTTTCCTGCTTTTAGAAAATTGTGTAACTGATGCGGCGTTATCGTATTGTCTGCATTAGCATCACAATAGTAATTACGTTATCATTTAGGTTTATTGTAGGAGGGAAGTTAGGAATGTAGGATACATAAAGTCAGGTATTTGATTTATAGGAACATCACTCATAGTAATGTCCAAAATTTGCCCCAAGACCGCAGGTTCTGTCGACCTTCCACCCCGGGACCTAGAACAATCCAGATACGAACAGTTCGTAGGTGTGACTGCTAGCGGCGCTCAGATCTTCTACACCGTGGTCGAAGACATTCTATGCCGCAAGGAGCAAGATGAAAGGATCAGGAAGGCAAACTATAATACTATTATATTCTGTATAGTTACCGGTACGCTGCAAAACACAACTGCAAAGTCTTCAAAACATAATGACTCTCGGTAAAATACATTCCGGTATATTATACAAATAACCGATACGATAGAACCGATGGGAAGGTAATAACATTATACCACACAGCATTTGTAGTCAGGGAGGGGAGGGCGATGTCAATTATTTATTCCTCGGTATTATAATAATTAATACCAAAGAAGGTATACTCATACATAACAAATTTAACCGATACTACGTTATATTATACGCGCATCGTTGAGTTTTTGATAACGCGATTAAAATACAACCGCCACCGGTCAACGGGCAACAAAACGTTTACAATATTATTATTATTATTATTAGAGTACAACCTCCTTATAATGGACCCATATAAGACAGAAATTTCCTTAAAATAGAATACAACAACAGTTCTGCATAATCTATATTCCGTACAGACCCTGTAAGGTTAGATATCTTCTAGAAGAAAATCGCGTCTAATTTTCGTCAAAAGCAAGTTTTTTAGTAGAAAAGTTACTTTAAAAAGATTTAAAAGACAAAATTATTTGACTTAGCAGAAATGTTTGAAAATTTAACAAGAGATTTATTAAGATAAGTTGTAATTTGTGGTAAAAAAAAAATTGAGTAATGTATACATTTTTTATAAAAATGTTAATATCAAGTTTTGACGAAATTTGTATATATTAGGGCCTTTTAAAATATGTATAATCGAACTTCACTCCGAATCGTTTTTCATTAACAACAATTTATCGGTACGTATAAATTAAATTCCCCTGTATATCCGATCTTTCCAACTCATCACCTATCTGTCGTGCGAAGTATGTCCGTCTTTTTAATAATGTAGTTTATTTCACACTTTATTCTTGAGTTGTTCAGTTAGTTATTGCCAAGTAAATAAGCTCTACAGTAAAGTTAGATTAACCAAGACAAAGGTCGAATAAAATAAGGGATAATGGATGTTTCAACTATATTACATTTTTGGCAAGTTTTATCCGCCAAGTTAAAACTGCTTCGATAATATATTAGTTTGTAGTCATCAAATCCCGTAGACAGTAAAGCTCATTTAAAGAGTTTTCATCGTGTGGCCGATTCAACAGTTAAACAGTCAAGAAAGGTGTTTATTTTTTTTGTTATGTGAACACTATTACTACTAGAAAGCATACTCCGGTTATCAAATATGGCACCTTTTCTGAAAAAAGTGTTCTCTAGGTAGTACTTTAAAGAAGTCATTTTTTAAAATTATTTTTAATATTTGAAATAGTAAAGAATACCTGGTTCTTTGGTTAGAAAATATTAAAAGTAAGGTTGTCATTGGCAACCGTTTTTATTTATTTGTTGTTATCATTAAGTTTTATTAATTTGTTGTCATCATTAAGTTTTATTATTTTAAATATTTTTTAAACAATCATTGTTATCATGAAAACGCAAATTTTTGTAATCATTTTACCATAATATGACATATATATTGTTGACAAAGCAACGCTAGCAACTGAACTCCGCTCAAAATCGTGCTTTCGTTAGTAATGGCTCATCGTTGCTTACAGATATACATTGAATTCCTGTCTGTATCTTACCTTTCCATACTCTCGAAAATATCAAATCCATCATCTATTATTACTTTTATTTTATTTTTTTTATATAAATGGAAAAATCTGAAATAATGAAGCCGTCATTTCCTTAAACTTTACCAATTTTTTCTCGGTTTTTCTCGGTTTTCCAGGTTTTTTTTTTCTAAATTACCTCATATTACACCAACAAAATACAATTTTCTTTCAGACAAGATGTTGGACTTAAAATTCGTGGTAAGAGATCTGGCCAGAAAAATAAAATCAAAACATTTGCAAAAGATTAAACTTTTATCGTCATACAAATCTGTTTGTTTTTCCTACACGTTTTCCTCTCCAAAGTTTTCCATTGTACTCATTTAAAGGCAAAACAAAAACATCATAACACAATAATTTATGTTATAAAAAATATTGCACGTTTTTTCACGTCTATGTGCATTCTATTTTCTTAATAAATTTATTGCATACGGTCGTTCTATGCATAAACACGTATTTTCCCGCGGTCCGTCCGTTGTAATAGTATGCAAATTATTTCATATTAATAACACCGCATTAAGGTATAGTATCACAGTATGGTAATTATATTTGGCCGCGCGGTAATGGAAGTAATAGGTAACCGTATTTTTACGAATATTATTGCTCAAGATGCTATGTACATTATTATGTTTGCAGATTTTATGTCACCACCTCTTTGCGGGTCTTTCACCATATTAATATTATTGTTTAATAAATTATTATTTTTACACGCGATTATCACGTTGTATACCGTTTGTTTTGTTTCGTTTAACCGATTTGGACAATGACATTTTTTTTCACCACCCATATAATTATTACTTATCGATCATGAATAGTATATACTGATAATATACTTTATAAGGTTTTTTATCAGGTAGATAATTAAAAAAAGAAATGAAAAAAAATTATCATAATAATAGTAATAAATAAAATTGATGATCAAAGAAAAACGTAATGAATAACTTTTTTTTTTCCCCGGAAAAATATCAAGTAAATTAGCAAGCAAAATGCAAGTGATCAAATTATCATAATAATTTGATATTTATTTTTCGCGCTGTACTCGTGATAATTAGGTTTAAAAAAATGAATAAATAAAAAATTACCGTTTATTGTATATTAATACCAGATTCACTATGTTTTTACATCATATTATTTCCGTGTAAAAAAAAAAAAAAAAAAAACGACTGACATAATTCGTACAATGCATGGGCCATTGTTGTAGGTGAATAGTTGGGAAGGATTGAGGAAGGATCCGTTTTCCTATGTTTTTTTCCCAGTTATTATGAAAACTGTTTAGAAAAGGTGTTACACTTGAAAATCGGAGCAAGATTTTTGGTAGGAGTTTTGCACACAGGAAAAAAAAATTAACATCATTATAAAGTTAATACATTCCTTGGAATCTAAAATTATTTGGACAGTTAGATTTTATTTATATTTATTTTGTCACTAACAAAATATTCTATATTGTATACATGCTGAAGTTCTCATTTGGTCGAAAAAAATTGTATTAATTATGTGCTAACCTAACTTCGTTTCGAATACAATAAATGTACCTAGGTAATTAAAAAATGAATAGTTTTTAAGTTGATTGTCACTGTCGCTACTGTCGGCATGTTATAATATTTTGTATGTTTACATTTTTCACGAATAATTATGAAATAATCGACTACTCGTATATAACATAAGGATTAACGACATGTGTATAATTATTTATCGTAACGAATCTCGTGCAAAAGTATTAAAATGTTCGTCTTAAAACTAATACCAAATTCAACATTATAACCGTTAGACTGATATAATTCAATCGAAACCGAAATGTGATCGTATTAAGTTATACCATAAAGACTATAAAGACCATAAAAACTATAAAAACAATACGATTTTCATGGTTAGGCCACATGATCGGACATTATAGCCTCTGTATGACCCTAGCCCTATAGTTAGAGATGATATCGGGAAAATGGGAAGAAGACAACGAATTTAACCGCACAAACATTCCCTCGCAAGCATCTAGGCCTAAAGTGTTTCGTGTTTTAAACTTCCCAGTGCGAGTGTTTTAATTTAGAACACGGTTTGATGTTTTTAAATTATTTTAAAGTGTTAATATGACAATAATAAATTTTTGTTTCGTAACGATTTTATTTTAAACCGTTTTAACATCATTCTACTAATATAATTCTAAATATAGAAACGAAACCCGGACGTTATCAACAGAAGAAAATTAAAATAAATTTTAAACGTTTAAAATGTGGCGCAACACAGAATAATGATGTTGTACAAAATAAGCTGAGCCGAGCGAATAATAAATGAAAACGCGCTAAATTAACTACAAAGAGGGAGGGGGAATGTTAAAAGGAAGAACCGTGTATGCGTATTGAATGGATCTGCAAACTAATTTTGTATTCATTATAAAAACATAAGACTGTGTTGTGCTGTTATCTATTTTACACAAAATTGGAAAATATAATCTCGTACACTTGGCGCATGGATAAAAACGTATTTCCCATCATTATCCTGAACCACGATTAGGTGAAATTGCAGACAACATAATAGAAATTAACAGAAAAACGGGAGGGCTGCAAGAGTTCTATTGAGTCATATATTTTTTCAAAACGATTTTGATAAGAGTAGCATTATTAAATTCGTCGTAGAAATATAATAATACATGTTTTTACTTTAAAAAGCCTTCGGTAAAGGAATTGAGTATATATATATATATATATATACATGTATGTATTATATGTATATGTGTGTATGTGTGTGTGTGTGTGTGTGTGTGTGTGTACATACTTGTATTTATTTTGAAGGAACAGGAATATAAGAAGGAATATAGCTATATAAGAGGAGGGAAATTTAAAACCAGATGCGAGTGAATTATTTTTTACATGGGGTAGGACGAAAATGTAGAAGCTAGGTGTCATTATGAATCTTTTCTTGATACATGTATAACCGAACTCCGCTTGGAATCGTTTTTCATTGGAAAAGATTAATCGTTGCGTACAGATATACATTAAATTCCCCCCTATACCCTACCTACTTAACTTCTCACCTACAGCAGAGGCCCACTCATCATGCGAAGTATCTCCGTATATTTTTTTTTTTTGTAAATCGCAATTTGTGAAAAATCTATAAAAAAAAAGACAACTGCGTCCGTTAAAAGTAAAAAAAAAAAAGTTTTAATTTAGAAAGTTTCGAGCTCCAATCAAATCAGAATCCCTTTTTACGATTGCAACCATATTAATAATACATGTATACGTACAAGTATACTTGCGTCGGAAGTTTGTTAATTTATTATTACCTAACGTATTTTTAATTTGTTTTAATTGTATTGAACCTTAATAAAATATTTATTATAATGTTCAAAGTGGACCCGATTCACCAGGAAACGATAGTAATAATATCAAGTACCCCGGATAATCTGGCTTGACAAAGAATATATAACAACAGTACCTACCTATTTTATATAATATAAAGGAAAGATAAATTAATTAAAACCATTGCGTTATAATATTCACTTCGGAAAACTACAAACATTCGATGGCCTCATATTATTACACAGAATCAATCTAATCAAAATAATTGAAAAAAAAAACAACGCGGGAGAAATACAAAACACCCCGTTGCATGCTTAACTGCAAACGGAAATAACGTTTTTTCTTTCGTACCGAAAAAAATATTTGATTTAAAAGACTAACGCTTCTTTTGGGGACGCGGAAGTTTTTCAATGTTGCGCTGATGACGACGATTATCGAAAACGAGTAAATTTACGTTCGTTATTATAAACAGGACCTATACCAATGTGTAGAAAAAATAAAAATTAATGTGCAATCCTTTCTCAGTTCGTATATAATATTGGCACAATGTTGAATTTATCGGTGTTTACGGCGGACATAATGTCCGATAACCGCATAATATAAATCAGTACGCACCGCGCTTTCGGACTGGATATGATGGCAATAGAGAGCGACCGATAGTAATTTAAAAATATTATAATAACGTACAAACGGGGTAATAATTGCGTATTGTTGTGCACTGCCGGCAAAGGGTACATACGAGAATTAGTTTTATAATACATTGCGACCATCGGGTGCATAATAGAATATAATATATTATAAAAAAAGAAAAAAAAAACCCTGCATAGAACCCCCTTAACGCGGAAAGCGATTAAATGTATAAACGATGACAGAATATTATATATAATTAAATAGATAGCGCAACGTAAGTTACTGCGGCGGGTTTAATAATTCGTGAATATTAACCGAAACCACCATCATCACGCGTGCGCAAAAAAAAAAAACAAAGTGCTCGAAAACTGACCCGAACTAAAGCGGTTAATTAGCGGCTACATTCCCGTTTTCAATATTTTACGGTCGGTCTGTTGCCTTCTTTATGAGCTATTCGTGCGTGTAACACCCCGTACAAAGGTATAATTATAGCGTGTGACCATAAAATAATATGGGTAAACCATAATATTTTCCCGTCCGAAATAGGAACCACAATTTCTATAAAAATGTTCATAGAATACCCTAAATCGTTTGAATATTGATGTTTTACTTTCGCATAAAAGTAATACATATGTTACGTGTGATTAAAATATTTTAAATAATGTAAAAAATGATTAAGTTTAAATTGTATAATATCCCCCGTTCTTATATCACTATAATGGTCCGCATTGCTGTCCGTACACTTTTAAAACTACATTTTTTTTTTAAGTCTTTTGTTCATCCTTGAGAGATCGAGTTTTAATAAATCCTTTCTTAACGGTTGCCTACACATTTTATTAGGAATTTCGGTGCAAAATTTCAAGTTATTAGACCCCCGTTGTTTGGGCTACGCCTTTTATATCCCACATATGACATTTTGTATTGTATTGAACGGGAAAAAAAATTCAAAGGATTAAAACCGTACCTCCCCGCGTTTCCCGTTTAGGCCGTGAGTCCCCATTTGGACCCCATAGCTATCAAAGCTAATCATTTTTGCCTGGTCATTTATTTTTTTTAAAGAGTACTTTTTCTTTTCCCGTGAAAACCAAATTAACTAATAATAATTAGTTTTATTTTATCCACGTTGTCAAAGTAACGTATGTAAATCAACAAAAATAATTAAATTTTTCATTAAAAAAATACCAACATATCTAGCCACACTTTAGGAGTTTTTTTTTATGAGCTATTCGAGATAAAAAAAAAAAAAAATAATCTCTGTGTTAATCTAAAAAATATTCTATCCGCGTGCCAAATTTCATCCAAATCCATTAAGATAATTTGGCTTAATT